AGGCGAACGGTACGTAAGGGCAGCATCATTCCCCGAGCAGTCGACTCGTCTACTGAACGTCCCGGTATGCCTATGAGCCTAGGCAACATGAAAGGTAATACAGCTCATAAGGTCAACACATGCTTTGTCTATGCCATGATATACATCAGGTTTGTAATGAAAAGCATAATAACATAGTGCAAAATCGGAGCAAGAAGCGTCCTGAATCTGTTCTTCGATAAGACGTAAATTCTTAGTGTCACGTAACTGCAAAGTAAAACTTGCAATTAAGCAAATATAGTAAATCACGTTCCACAATATTTTCTTTTCAATTTAACTTTGTAGTATTCCAGCTTGTTCAAAGCCCTGTACAGGCATGGCTTCTTTTTCTTTGGCTTCCTATCCTTTAGTGGCGTCAAATTTGAGGAGTTCGATGGGGAACCTTGTCCGCCCTTTGGGCTATTTAGAACGACAAAAGTTTGCCTTTTGCCCTCAAATGTAAATATATTAATGTAGTATACATAATAGAGCGTGGCTCAGGTGCTATGGGTAGGTCAGTGACACAGAGCGCAGCAATATTATTATAGTAGCACTTGGCAACGTTTTGCGGAAAGCGAGTCATATCAGAACTCAACGTTATCGAAATCTGTTGAGCTGTCTGGTATGTCAAGCATCATCGCTTTTTGAGTTCTGCCAATAGTATCGGATACAAATTTATCTGGTCTGGTAACGATAGCTATACTCATCTTTGGCTCGATGGAGGCCAAGCATTTTGCGTTACGCTATAGATGGCATACAGGACGATGGTCGTCTTTCGAAGCAACGCTAAAAAGTCGTCAGGCCGAACTTTGGTAAAATAGATGGGTTCAAGCTTTACCGAAGTCATATGAATGGTAATTTTGATATCACCACTTCAGACCACGGTTGTTACAATCTCATGAGACAGCAAAATGCAGTTCAAGCGCGCGTGCGGCTGTACCCCGCTTAGGCAGTTGCGTCATGAAATCTCTACCAGGCTGTACGTGTAACAACGATTTCTTCCAACCTACTTAGATTAACATACATGAGATGCGCGTTGGCCAATCGTCGCCGAGCTACTTTCATCGATTTAAATACCTTTTTTTGTTGATTCAATAGGACAAATGCTGATCAGGCTCAAACCAACATAAAAAAAATCAGTCTTCTATGAAAAAATCATAATTGATACGCACCTATAAAGGTTAATCAGTGTGCTTGTTTTCGGAATGCGCAAAATGGGTTTACATGTAGAATAGTTTTGTTACGTTCAAAGATTAAAGAAAGTGATTTTCTATTAAAAAAAAAAGAGTCCCATCGGTTCAAATGAAATCCCAGTTAATACCAACTCTTGGATTCTTACAGACCGATCAGTGCTGCCGCACAAAATAGAAGTGCGTCACCAGCAGTCGAATAGCTAGATCCAATGTCGAATGATCCATAGTAGATCGTAGTGTTTTGTGAGTTTGAAGAAGTTAATACGATTTATAGAAGCCGTTCAATAGAAATATTGTTTATTGTCCCCAATAATGCTTCCTTCATGCGTTAGAGCTTTCGGGCTGAAGACGATCAACTTAACAGCACTCAGAAACGTCCACTTGAGATGGCATCTACATCAATCTGTGTACTATCACGCAAAGTGGTCTATCAGCTCCTATGTTGCGTCTGTGGAAAACCGGGACGTCCTTCTTTAGCGTTAGCAGATCATTGAAATGCACGTACGTATGAGAGGCACCAGCCTATAGATGCCCTAGGGGAGGGTTTTCAAGGACGAATACAAGGAAGACACGTACAGCGTATGCTGAGTTGAATAAGTTGCTATGGTCGCAAATTTTTCCGAAATACGACGATATTAGGCGTTCTGAATACTAATTAGAAAAATGGACCTAAACACGCTCCCATATCGTGTTCTCCAGATCTTATTGGTGTGCTATAACTAATGTAAACTGTCGCATTGAGTAATCCTGTTAAGCGGTTAGACAAATATTATAAGCCAGCAGAAATCATTTAAAGCACGCACGGATCAAGTCGGCGTGGGTCGAGCATTAATATGGTACGAAGCCAAACACCCGAGCCGTTGTCAGTGAGAGGCGGCCTTGTGTCCATTTCGTGTTTCCACCACTCTGACCGTCCGCCTTAACTGACAAGGCGATTCAACAGCGCGGCGTTACTGAAGTTCCTTGTGATGTAGTGCAGTCTAGCCTAATAATAAGTTACGGAACATGTATCGATAGTTATCCGTTAACTCCTTTAAACTCCGTTAAATCCTCCTCCACAGAGGATTCTGCTATTATTACATATATAGTATACCACTGATGACCAAGAGTAGATAATCTGCAAACTTATTTATCGATATCCGTTGTCGTATCTGTTTCTGTACTCTGTGTACAGGGCCAACTGCGTGTAATCGACAATAGGGCACGAAGGATAATATTAGGGGGCGGTGGGTCAGGATCTGCCTGCTGGTCTAATTCGCGTGCACTTAGTAATAGGTAACGGTGTGTGCATTGCACTTCGTGTATGTATATATATATATATATATATTTTTTTTTTCTTCGTTTTCGAAATATGCAGATGATAGAAAAGCGCTATCGATACAAAATCTGCAAAGCTTTCGTTGGACGTCTCATTTATTAGTACGATGGCTAAGAGTCATTTGGCCCGGTGAGTCATCCATCAAACTATAACATATTGATGATCGATCAGAAAATTTACACGCGTAGAGAATGGCTTTCCGATTGAGTGATATGTGTACCATAAGCACACATGTATATGACGTTTTATCTAGCGCTATGCTTTTCATACACTTGAACTTAAATGTAACGACAGAATGTAACCGTTGGAGTGACTTACGTATATGGTAACTGGCAGTACGTTAATAATTTTAAGCCAAGAGTCAGCAAAATGAAAATGTTTTCGTTTGAATTTAAGAGTCCTGCTCTTCGTTGATATATATATATATTGCTCTGCGATACTTTTAATGGACGGATATATTGCTTGTCTTTACATAGGATCACTATGTGCAAATTGATTCTATTAGTACACTACTTGCAGACTGAATATAATGCGCGGAGCAAAACATTGAGAGCCTCCTTTGTAATTATCTTTGTCTACGGTCATTCTGGACACTTCGCTTCGCTCCCGCAATCAACCTCCTTCATCTTTTTTCGAACTTGTCCGACAGGAAATAAGGTCAAGTCTCGACCTATCCAAGCTGACTCATTGAGGCTTAAAAAGTAATATGTGTTCGCTGGAAGTTGGCATGTTTGAAATTTTCGCCAGCTGATAACAATGTATGTCGTTTTGAAGGGGGGAACTACTGTCTAAAGGTGACTAAAAAGTCCGCACTCTCCTTCACAACAAACTAAGGCTAGATGATAAAATCAAAGCGAAACGTTTAGCCTATTTCTTGACTAATATTTCAAGAGTTACGAATCGAAGCTTTCGCAAGGGCATCTAAAACAGCTGAAAATTTCTCTGGTAGTTTGATAGTCAGGAGAAAATCTCGGTAAAGTTCGTCGGAACGATCGTACGGAGTCAGCTTGAGTCGAACAGATGACTTATTAAAAAAACAAGGATTAGCGCCCTCAAGAGAGACTTTGGTTGAACTGCTAAGCCCGCATTCTGGTCCTGATTGACTGACGCAGGTGACGATAGCGATACGATCAGTTGTGAAGTGACGTGAAGCAAATGAAATGTGCGTAATTTTGTGCACTCGGAAAAAAAACTTGCAAATCTTTCTCACAACGATTTTCATTCAAAATTAACATAATTCGAAACTTCAACCTTCGAACAATGGAGACTAACATCAAACTATTTTACTATTGAACTGGTTATTATTTGAGGCTACTGAGTGGTACTGAGGTACTGAATTTTTGTTCTATGCGTCCTAAGCCGCGGAGCCAAAATATCCCTTTTAGGAACTTGAAGTGCTCTACTTTAGGCCTATTTATTCGGTCCTAGTCTCGTGCGTTTGCTGACTTTTTTTTGTAGTTGCACATTTTAGGTTAAGTTATTCTATCTTGTGTTTCATTCCAGTCCTGACATCACTCACCGCACCACAACAACAACAGGGGGATAGCCTCGCGGGTATCCTTAAAGTAAGCACAATTTGTTTAGCAGTAGAAAAATAAAGTAATAACGCCGCCAAATTATGATATAATTACATGCATATGGGCGTACATACAATAGCTAGATATTCACCAGAAGGACAGATGTGACAGCATCTTCTTAATTTCGACTTTGTCAAGAATATGTATTGCCGATACAGGTAGAACGCTATTCGTAAAGGTGATGTTTAGATCGGGCTTAGATGCACGCTGAACCGATTTCCGTAGAATTAAGAAGCATGAAAAAAAAAACTACTATTTGCCAGGGGCGAAAATCCAGGCGAACTTTCGGGCTGAAATTGCTCAAAGAGCTTGCCTTGTCAGCATATGTAATGCCTCGCTATTTTTACAACACAGATATTCGTTTTCCGGTCATGAAGCGCAACTAACTTGATCAGCTCTGTCTTATTGACAAGAGAGATGCTTCAAGATAGATATGGTTGGTTGAGAAAGAAAGACACTATATGCGTCCGATTTTTGAATGTACGCTAAAATTAATTAAATATAGATTGAATGTTATCTACGTGCATGGTATGCAGACATTTCCGTCAGGCTGTTGGTAGACTGCGTGGTCTCAAACTTGTACCCCATGACACTTGTAGTTCTTAAATGCGTAAGTCTGTAACAAAGCACTTCGCCAACTTTTTCTTCTTGATCTTCCTGTCAACTTCAATGAGCAATAAAGACGAAGAACCAAACGTGAACCGCAGTTTGACCTCCGCCTAACGTTTGACAGGCTCTGGCATTATTCGAAGGTATCTAGTCTCGTCGGCGACTACCCTTTAATGCAAGTCTTCCCTTTCCTCTTAGGCCCTCGCCCATCGGGTCGGTTACCCTCTCACTCGAGGGCAACGCGGACTCACGCTACCCACAATAGTAGCAGAGCGCGCACGAATGCGGACCATCGGCCATAGCAAAGTCGCAATCTAGCTGTTGATAACCGACTACGGCATTTGCACAGAGGAGACTCAGGATTCGTAATTCAACGTTTGATAAAACCAACTAGCGTGACAAAATGGCTAATTGAGAATAATTCTGATAAACGTGACCAGACTGCCATGAATAAAGTTTGACAATATGTAACTTCAGCTCTTCTTTCCCTGTGAAGCACCCCGAAGGCGTCCGCCAAAAAACTACATTGCTACCATTTAAATTGGATCGATTCAAGGTGAATCTTTCGTGTAAAGTGATAGATGATACATAGTCACAGGCGACGACCCGTTGCGTTTCAAGTGTGGGGTTTTTTCACTTGGATGGAACCCTTTTGACATTGGCACTAACCACCGGTCCTGCAATAACGACTTCGCTGGTCAGATCCTGAGTGTTAATTCCTGTTTTGATCGCCTGGCTGCCGTTACGGATCGAAAAAGTACTAAATCGGATGGACCAACAATCAATAAACACTGTGTTTGCCGCCTCATATTTCTGGCCAGCTGTGTGTTATAGGCGCGACCTTTTCGTTCTGTATCCAGGACAAAAACATTAATCGCATCAACGGCACTTTCGGCACCAAACAAAACGAGTGAGTCTTTCTATCCGTCGAAGCTACGAAAATATCAGCTGCAATTACCTGCTTCGTCCGCTGTATTCATCGCGCACTTATTGTGGCCTGAAAAGACTATTCTGGGTTGTTTTTCCTTGCCATTTGGACATTCAATTAACATGTTGTTCTCCTAGCGCATAGATAGCTAAATGCGAGTACCTGCGCCAGTTGTGATATCAGTGATCATATCGACAGGCTCAACGAAGTAATGCAGCGGTAACTGAGCGATAAGGTAGTGTCGAAATTTTTTAGATGTCCTATTGCAGGAGACGTGCTAACGTGCACATACGCATGCTTCTCTTAAAAATCTCAACTTCGTTCTCTTTTGATGCACAACCTGCACGACGATAGTTTGTATTGAAAGGATTCCTGACAAGCGATCAACCACCGAATAAAGTTCGTCACGGTACGCAGGAACCCATTACTAGCTCTCGTATATAGAATCACGCGTCAATTTTGGTCACTTATCTCCGACGGATCGACTTTCGATCGTGTGCGTGCGTGCGTGCGTGCGTGTCTTCCAGTTTAGTGCTAAAAATAGCTGCTTCTCTTGCCAGGACAACCTGAGAATTGTAACTTTGCTAGATGTGTATGTTTGTTTGCGGCAGTTGATCATCGACAGAACGGAAGACACAACTGCAGATAAAAGCTAAGATGAAACTGATTGGAGTTCTCGCGCTCTGCGCGGCAGTGAGCATTGTTCGCGCTCGGGAGGAAGGTTAGTAAAGATGCTATACCTAAATAATGTTCGAGGAATGGATATACAACGTTTGAGAATAGCGAGGATGGAAGTTCGCAGTAGCAAAAGACCCGTCAACAAAATAACCGACACGATCTTGTTTAACGTGGGCCTTCGTTTAAGTTATTATAATAATATAGGGACTATTGTATACGGTAAATGAATTTCTAGCGAAAGCACTCAGCTGCCGGCGGTGTTCACTCCGAAACAAGGCATTAAAGCATTATTTAGCATATATGTACGACGCACGAAACCGTACGCCTAGCTAACAGATCACGCAACGTTTGCTAGTGCATTGAAAAGAATGCCGAGCAGGCACAGGTTTTCAATGCAGTTAAAACGATGGGGTCCTAAAGTGCAGCTAGTTTTACAACTTGCGCGGGCAACTTCTTCTTATTTTTGTTTGGAACTTCCCTCCATCAGCAAGACATACGTGTAAATAAACGTGTCTGTTTGCTGAAATTTATCACTGTGACGTGTCGCTGCAGTTGAGTCTTTGCAGTTGTTCAAGTTTCGAAATGTTCAACTTTAAAGTTGCTTGGTCTCGTCTTGTGCGTGGCGTCAATAGGCATGCGCGTCTAATGCAGCGAGGATTTCAGAAATCTGTTCCTATTTCGAAAACTAGTGAAAATGCACCCAATGCTACTTCTAATTACTGTCACATTCTCTAGGTTCTATAATACATATACGAGTAAATTCAACGGCGGTTCCTCGGGTCGCGCGCAAACGTTTTGATCGATTGCGTAAGACTCAATCCGAACAAAATCTAATGGTATGACGCCTGCGGCGGTTAACGGATTATGAGGAAAAGATATAGTATTATATAAGGAAGACTATTTTGTGTAGAAGTAGCGAAACCCTACCGGACGGGCGGGAACAGACGAATCCTCCAGCGCAAATCGTCAACGACCCATTTTCTTCTTGTCTTTCTTATTCAGCATTCCACAGCAATAGCCGCAATGAGCGTCCTTGTACGAACGACATTCTAATTGTAGCTATTTAAAGGTTATGGGACAGCCTATTAGGAAAAGGATCTTCGTTCTAAGTAGCCGGAGCTGCTAGTATAGGAGCACACATATAAAAGATCAAAAGGGGAGTCAGATTAGCTAGCCGACACTTTGTGTAAGCAATAAAAATTACGCTCAAAATAACAAGCACCCTATATCTGAGCCGTAGAGTAACATTTCATTCTAGTGATGCCAACAGTGTTATCACTTCTGAAAATAAAATACCGACAAGTTGAGTTGTCAACCCACGAAAGGTTTAAGTTAGCTTGGGACCACTTCTGTTGCCGTATGACTGGAGCCTCATACTGACAGGATAGTTCTATTTAAGGACATTTCTATTGATATTCTATAGGAAACTCGATTATCTGTCGTAGGCCAAATTAGGCTTGGGTTAAGTGTTTTGCTCACTCGTCATTGTTTCAGAGTGTTATCTCGTATTGTGAGAAAACGCAAAGGTTCGTTCTATTGTTGTTTATATAATCTGCTACGAATCATCCGGATTTATGCACTTTTCTCCTGTTATCAGTATCGGTTGATCCTTTTAGCCACTTGATTCGGGTAATCATCGTTGGTCAAGCAGCGATGCTGTCAAGAAAGGATGACACGTCAGAGGATATGGATAATATCATATTAAATTTAGACAATATCTTCGTCAAAAAAACAAGGTTTATTTAGATAGGGAAACATAGAACTACGCAACTTTTTCCACACGAGAACACCGTCGTCTGGCCGATATAAGGCAAATCCTTACACTCAAAGTTACTGCGCTGGCACTATTTTTGCGAAAAAGGGCTCAGACTAATAGGTTTAAAAATTATTAAAAATATCCATTGTTCACGTACGGTAGTCAAACACGCATATTCTATTTAATAAACGTGAAATAAAAAAAATAGATGTATAATAAATTGATTAGGAAAAGAGTCACAGTTTTTTAAATGAAAAACCCGCTTCAGTTTAAGGGTGTATGCACAAGATGACTCTGTATCATTTAAAACAAAAAAAAAAAAAAAAAACATTGAATTAATAGTTATCGAAAGCTTCTCGAACCAAAAATTCGGATCGCTGTAGAATCTCGTACTATGCGGCATTTTTATTTGGCGTTTCAATGATGACGTATGAAAATGATATCAAAATCCTCCATTTACAGTATGTACAATTATTATAACAGAGATCCTTTCATAAGGCCATAAAGAAGCTAAAATTGCAGCTGTTATAAATCAGATCATTATTTTCATCTGCAAGAAGACCCTATGAGTTGTTAATTATAAAATAATGATGATTTCAATTACGACAATTAAAGGATAATGAATAACTTTAAAAAAAAATTAAGCAGGAGTAACTCTGGGGACAACATTTTGGACATTTCATATTCATAGGATAGTTTTCGTGCCGTAATAATAACGGTAAAAGCTAAATATTCGAAGCGGCTTATTGCTAAACAAATATTCTACTTAATTTAGTAAGTTCATAGTTGAATTTTCAAACAGTCACTTTGCAATAATAGGTACCTGTTTTTGTCCTAGTAATCACTGTGGCCAGTGACTGGATGTCATATAGCACAGGGTTACCATTGGACAATACTTTGGCTTCAAGATCATGTTTTCGTTGCCGTTGTTACTAGCTACGTATAGATTTGGCTCAAAGTGATTTGGATCCTCGGTGAACATCGCTTAGCCAGGCCTGCCTAGACACCCATATGTAGCATGTCATAATCTATGACTCTTGGCAAACAGTAAACAATGCCAAGTGACTGTTTTCTGTGCACTTACGCTATCTGACCGGATTGTGTTCTCGATGTTTTTGTATTCGTGAATTTTTCATACAGACAGTATAGCCTTTTGATGTCCCTAGCAGTTTCACCTAAGGCAGCGGAGGCAACAAACATTTGTAAGAGCTACGAGCTCCGGGAAGCTTGGCATTAGAACGTAAAAACGCTTTGTCGCTCAATTCTGTTTGACTCTTTTTGGCGAGTCGGTATCCACTCATTCAATTCGGTGGTACACTTCGATGATTCACATTTACGAGCGTGTCCGATTCAAACTCTTGTTGACGTAAGCTCAAATCCGTTATTTCGGTGTCTCTGAATTCACTGACTCAACTGGTACTGTATCTGGTTCCTACGCTGCCAAGATCGACGCCAGCTAATGTCTCAGTGAAACGTATATGTTTATGTTTACACATACATATATGACGTGGAATCATAACAGAAATGCACGCTTCTCTTTGTCTGTCTGCGTACTGGTTCCCTTTTTATCGGATCCAACCCAAGAGACTTCAACGCCATTGCCCATAGAATCTGTCGTGTCGAAATCGCCTTTTCATGGTCCATTAGGTTTAGATCATCTTTCCTCGGGGATCCTTTCATCGCCATGATCGATCGGTCTGCAGAAGTATATATAATTATGACGTTGATGTACACGATTGGCCTAAGGAAGGAAGAAAGATAGGAAAGGAAGAAGGATAGAAAGTGACAAGGCAGCATAAATGGGAAGCTGATGAAAAGTATGCAGCGATATCGTTGACGCAGATGCAGAAGACGTCAAAAATGAGGAAAGAAGACTAGTAGACTAGCGCTAAGATCTTGGGAGCGCACTAAGTTCGCTAGCACAACTATCCGCATCGATATTGTCAACTTTAATATAATTCGTCAGTATTCTTATAGTAATAGGGCGATATATCATCTTGGTTCCTTCGAGATAATAATTCAAATGATCATCTATTGTAGAAGCGTATTTTATAAGAAACTGCTCGCACAGCTTGGGTCGGCTAAGGCATATGGCTTAGCGCTAATTTTATATAGGTGAACTAGATTAAACGTACAATTTATGCTACATAAGAAAAAAAAGACGTTATTTTTGACGTTCGACAAGACAAGCCCGAATTACCAAATTTATTCCTTTTTTTTTGTCGACAGCCAACTATGTAGTCTGGAAGTGTAATCCGTTCGTTGTTTCTATTTAATTACATGAACCATTCTTACCTGTTTATTATATATATATAGGTTATTCCATTGAATTGGTATTTACTACATTTCCATAGGTTGACATTTGGTTAGCATGAAACGGATGAAGCAACGAATGAATCTGTCACCTCCAAGAAATTTGCGTCATAAGAGGTAATTGCTTGACTTATTGTGCAAGTATGACGCCTTCCTGTGGCGCCAATCATATCATTTATGGGCCTGCCCTCGTTCCTTGAATTCCGACGTTGCCAGTGGCGTCATCGGAGTCAATCGAGAACGCAAACCCCATCATAGGCCACACTGATCTTACTAGAGTGAAAAATTTTTCGACGACCAGTTTCCTATCAGTAACAATTTATAGTAGCTGTTGCGTTTTCTTGCTGACACCTTCAGGAGAAAAGGTTCCACTTAAAATAAGAGCTTTATGTGAAGACTGAGTTCAGCTGCAAACGAGAAGTGCGGCTCAAGTTTGCTCAGGCCAGTGAAGTTCAAGTTAATCTGGAGAATATTAGCGACTCTTTGAATGCGTATAAGCTAAACATATACCAGATTAATTGGGTCTATAATACGGGTTTTTAGAATTCGGCTAGTTGTTCTTTTGCGTGCATTGTATTATAGCAACAAGTTTTACCTATTTACTGTGTTGAAGTACGTTGCTAACATGTGGGTTAAATTGGTTCAGCGAAATTGATCTGCGTATATGTAGCATCATGTTATACTGTCGTACTAATTACTTTGGCGACAACGCCTTCTGCTGGCCTTAAGCGTCATGTAACTGTTTTCTATTACACTATACCATACATGACAATACAGATACATCCATCTCTAATGGAAGGTAGAGTGATTCCCTTACGATAACTGCATACATACCTATAAACAATACTAGTTCGAACAGTACACTATTGCCTTTGAGCATCAGTTATCGTGTAAAATTTCCATTAAACAAGCAATGAACTAAAGAATCGCTAAAAAAGAATCGCCAGACTTCGTAGTAACTATACCTTTTATAG